CAAAAGCAGCAATAGAAAGCATTCACTCAGAAGGAAACTATAGGAAAGACCTTGTCTTAGAAATTCATCAAAGTTTATTCAGGTTATCTAGATATGGAAGAGACGTTCAGTTCTGTTGGGTACCAGCATATGAAGGCATGAGAGGAAATGAAATAGCAGATAAGCTTGCTAAAAAGGCTTTGGGAAAGCAGATTACGGTTCAGATTCCATTTGGAAAAGGGCAAGGTAAATTAATAATTAAAAAGAAAAAAGCAGAAAGATGGCAAAAAATATAAGATAAAAATGAGAAAGGAAGAAGGTTATATGGTTTCAAAATCTGTAATACTTAAAAATTACGGAGAGAGAAGCAGAAGGAAAGAAATCATTTACATTACATACATCATTTAAATACTAAAAACTGGACACACCTACTTGAATGAGTTTTTATTCATACTAGGGAAGAGAAATAATGGTATATGTGAGGGTTGTGGAGGAAAAGAAAATGTGGATCATGTTCTGATGAATTGCTATAAATATGCAACTGAAAGAGAGAGGATGAGGAAAGTAATTAGGGGAAACTGGAGAGAATGGAGTATTAAAGGCATTTTAGGGACAGATGGAGATAGGGAGGAAATTATGGTAATAATAAAGCATTGTTTTTATTTTTACATAGCACAAAATTCAAAAATAGAATATTGTATGTGGAAACTTAAGGCTACATTCTTGTACAGTACGTGGTGGTATGTACCTATAAGTTGTTTGCAATCTGACAATCAAATGAAAGAAGAGGAAGACCAGTGACACAGGTGTCGGTCCTGGAAACAGCAAAAGCATCCAGCAAGCTGCAAAAGATCTCACAGGTGCTTTGTGATCGGTGTGCAACTGGCTCGCATCCCATGTTAAACATCACAAAAACTGTTTGCATGTACTTGTCAAAGCATCCTACAGATCTTAATCAAACATTATTTTGAATGGAGTAAAGCCTGATCTAGTTCCAGAATTTAAATATCTATGAGTTATTTTAGATCCAAAATTCTTTATTCAAGAATCATGTTAACAAAGTGTCCCAGGAAATAAAATTTAATAACCAAAATGTCTGCCACATTTGCAGTATTTTAAATATGAATGAAAAAAAAAAATTTACTTTTACTCGAGTGTTTCTCATATTTGCTTGATTGTCTCTTGCTTGTCCAACAAGCTGAAAACCTTTAACGTTAAAAAATACTTGATAAAAAGCTTATTTCCTACCACCACTGACATATTCTAAAACAAAATAGACTACTGGACTGTAATAACATGGAGAAGGTTAAAAGATTTTGCCTAATTTACAAGGTCCTGCACACTGGCTCTATCACTGCAATGCAGGGGACATATCATCCTCTGTAACCCTTGTCAAATCATTGTTAAAATAAACAATGAAAAATGTGACTTCTGCAAAAAACTATGTCTCTACCGAGAGGAGAGTCCTGAGATTTCAAATGAAATAAAAATAATAAAACATATGGAAAATCTCTATGAAAAGCAGCCAACCGTCAACCTGCTCGTAATAGTTTAGTGAAGAAAAGCAGGAGCTGATGACTGTTGGAATGGAGCTCATCCGATGCAAATTACCTTTCCAGCAGAAAACCTCCACCCTCTGCATCTGTTTTGAAGCCCTGCTGCTTCTTATTGTCGCTTCCTGTTCAAAATTATACAAATGTCATTTTCTCAATCTCATTGCCCCTTTTTTCTTTTTTTTTTTTGTTTGTTTCTCCTGCCTCTAATGGGACAAAGATTACCAATGGTCCTCCTTTGCAACATAAAGTGGAAGGTAGAATGTTCTACTGCTTGTTTTGAAATTCTTTCCCCTAAATTACATATTTTCAGTTAATGGTAAAACACGTAAGGCTGACAAGTTTGTCCCCTTTTAGCTACTCTGGTCAATATGTCATTTCCCAACTAGTATTTCAGAAAAGTTTTCTTGGGGAGAATTTTTTACACAAAGTATTCACCTAATTCTTGTTTAAAATAATTTATCTAACGTGTTGCATGTCCATTCAACAATAACAAACAGCTCAAACCAATCGCTAAATACTTTAATGAAATCTAATATTCATGGGCATGTGAGTGCATCTACAGTAAACCCCTCACTGTAACTGTATTTCCTCTTTTTGCATTTCCATAAGCAAAATATGAGTCAGCATGCCAGTAAAGAGTTGTCACAAATAAAACTGCAGGTTTCATTTGAAATAATTCCTAAACTTCTGCATTGGTAGGATTCCCCCCTCGCGTAATTTTATTCACACTTATTTCGATTCTTGCATGTTGCCGAGCTGCAGCAGTAATACTGGAAGGCTATATTGGGTCAGAATGCAGCTGGTAGTAAACGAGATTCACATGACAGGCCGCAGAGCAGATGTTGTAAGAGGAAGGAAAACCTCCTCTTTGAAAGTTAGCTGTCTGCTTTGTAAACCAGCGTCATTTTATTCTGGAAGATTAAAAACTCGCTGATTGTCTCTGTCAAGGTGAGTGCTAATTCGGTTTTTGTGATATATTTTTGGTAAACTTTGTTAAAAAAATTAGAAATTGTTGTGAAAGTAGTTTAGTGAAACCTATTTTAACTTCCCCTTTGTGAGCATGTGTAAAAATGTGAGAATATAGAAATGTATTTCCTGATTACACAGATATATATCACATACTTCCCTCACTCTAATAAGTTATTTTGCAGCAGCTCCAAATATTTTACTTGTGAAGTTTAATTTTCAAGGTTTTAATCTTTTATCTACTTTTTGCTTTATGTTGGTCAAAATTATGCAACCCTTAGTTTAGCTCAATAAAGCATGCATATTAAATTTGTTTGTATTTAATAGCTTAAAGACAGAGCATCATTAAACTGAACAGTTTGTTCTAAAAGTCTATACTTCCCTTTAAAAATGCCAGGTTTTGTTATCTTTAAAAAATGATCATGATGCATTATTTTATAGCATTTTCCACTTATAATGGGATATTTATTCTACACAAATAAAAAACAAATATCTGTTAGTATGGGATGGTTAAAAAATTAGAAGGTGCAATAATGTGGTTTCACAAGTGTGAAGACACTTTAGTAATACTTTTGTTTACACATTTTGATCCAATATCCAAGCATTATTGGCAGGGGGTAAAACATTTCAGAATGATCTTATTGTATAAAGTCAAGAGAAACATGCAAACATTTCCCCTGAATTATTACATTAATCATCTGAGTATTGATACAGTGCTGTCAGGATTAGTGGATACTTGATAAGAACCCAGATGCAGAGATGGAGAGGCAGAGATGATTTCTTGCTAAATTTAATGATGTAAAAATACAGAAGACATAATCCAGAACCAATTCACAAAAAAACAACAACTAAGGAACCAAAAAATAGGAAATACTGAAGGAACAAAGAGAAACAAACTGCAGGGGAGGAATATATCCGCCTAACAGAAAAATGAATGGAGTAATCAACTGATGGGAGCAGGTGTGGACAGAAGGACCTAGAAGGGAGCCAGAGGAAAGGAGACTGGCACAAGAGGATAACAGAGGCTAATCAATAAATACATAAGAGCTTAAATTCAATCAGAAAACAACTAGAATGACACAAAATGGAAATGAAACCAATGACCCAGAAAACAGAATGACATAAATCAAAGTGTAACTGATAAGACAGAAAGCAAACAAACAGAACCAAAAAGTCCAGAAAAGGACACAATCATGACAAGTGCACCACAGAGGGGGGGCTTTTCCTGTGTTGTCTATATCTTACAGTTTCTATTAGTTTTTTAAATATGTATGTTAAAAATGTTTGGGCTCCTATTCTAAATGTTTTTATCAAGACCATTTGTGCTCACTGCCTGATATCAAATCAGACAAAACGTAGCCTCTTACAGTATTTTAGCAAAACCACTGTTATTTCTTACCTAAATGCCGGAAAACAAAAAGTTTTTTTTCTTATTACACTTTATAAACAAAACTAACTAACTTGCGTTTCCTTGATTGCATTCCAAACATCTTAACTTGCATCAAACATGTTGGATAGTCTTTTAAAGCTCTACTTCCAGCACTTCTTCTCTAATTTGTAAGAAATGTGTTTATTTATTGGACCAACAAAACGTTTTTGGCTGATATCTAAAGATGTAGGTCCAGTGTTTCTACGAGACGTTTTTATGGCGTGAGGCAGTTCTTCCTGCAGCAACCCAGCCCATAAGTATCCACCTAGACCACTACAGATATCATATTATTACCCTTGGCCTTATTAAGTTAGCAAGTTTCCAACTTTTTCCTCCAAAATTAAACAATAGTCAGTGTGACAAAAACCTTCAAACTTAGTTACATGAGACCACAGGACATGTCTGCAAACATTAAGCTCTTTGTCATTTTGCGTTAAGTAATCAGGCTTTGAATGCTGGTTTTAAGATAATGACTTCTTCCTTCTAGTTTGACCCTTCTGCTCATGACAGTGCGGTTCTCTCTTACCAGACTGGGCAAACATCTTAAAAAGATTTTCTGTTTTTGTGCTGGTTTGGTAATGCGCACACATTTACATGCTCATACTCAACCTGTTTCCCCTCTTGAACATAAGTGGACTCTCTCTTTCTGACATACTGCCTGCTATTCTTTTTCTTTTTTTTCTTGTTTTTTTTTTATATCAAAATAGGAAGCAGTGTGTTTGAGGTTTTCACATGTTGTATTCGCACGAATAGTGATTTTATGTATTTTAACAGAAGCTTCAAAGGTCATTAAATCACCACCTGGCCCTTCCCAAAATTTATATTAGTTAAATTATGATTATTGCAGAATCCAAATTATGTCAAAATAATAATGATCACAGCCTTGATAAAATAAATAGATAGATAAACTGAGCAATATTTAGATTATTTTCTCTGAAACATTTTAATTTTAAAATCCAAACTGTAATTCTTAAGTGCTGAGATCAATTTCTGTTTTTATTCGTTTTACTATTTTCTGACTGTAAGTCCCAGATGAGAGATGATAGTTTAAAAGGTTTTCTTTATCTTTGCAGGATGCACTTTTGGTTATGTGCTGTGTTGCTAATGGCAGCTGTGATCCTCAGCTGTTCCTTATCAGCTACCAAGACATTGTGGGAAGACTGGAAAAATCAATATGGCAAAATTTATGACAATCAGGTATGAGTTTAAAAAAAAAAAAAGTTAACATGCAGTCACACAAATTTGCAAACATATTTGATAATAATGTATATAATATGATTTTTTCAGACTGAGCTGATCTTCAGGAGAACAGTGTGGGAGAAAAATCTGCTCATGTTGCTGAGACACAACCAGGAGGCTTCAGCAGGAAAACAAAGCTTTGTTCTGGGACTGAACCACCTAGCTGACATGGTAGGATGATGAGATTTAGTGGTTGTTCTTGGGTGAAATGCGCTCGGGGCAAGTCCCTCCTTTTGCTACCACTACAGCCAATTACTTTTATAACCTGAGATTCTGCAATGTAGTTACACACAAAGAACATAACCTACTTTCACAATCAAACAATTGTGGCTCCAAATCCCCAGTTACTGCACATGCTTACTAACTAGATTTCAACTGAAAGCAAACCTCTTTTTTTCACCCCTCCTCAAGCTTTCTTCTAAAACTGCATGGTTTTTGTACCCCTTTTCTGAGGCATTACAGATGCAGTAGGAAAGAGATCTAAGGTTGTGACCTCAAAACAACTTAAGACCTTTCAGAAAAAAAGCAAAATCCATCCTTTATCAGCTTTTTCAGTACATCTATGGTGCTAAACTATGAATGGGGAGACAATGTTCCACAGCTTTGGGATGCTGATCGAACTCTATGGCAAGAAGAGCAAAGCTGTAGGAGGTCAGAGGTGAAAAGCAGAGTTTGACCAGCTGACACAATAAGATAAGAAAATTATTTGTTGAATTTAATGATAACCTAATCTAAACATGTTAAAAGTCGTTGAATGTCAACTCTTTGAAATCATACTACAAGAAAATCCCTGGATTACAAATCGTACCTTACTTTTGCAGCTGGTGGCACAAAGGTAGAGCGTGCAGCTCGTCTATAGCTGCAGTCCTCGACTCAGCCATTCCAGGACAGGCTACCTGTTTCAGACATACCCCGCATGTTTTCCCCCAAACTTTACCTTATTTCCTGTCTTCAACATTGGAAAATAAAGAACATTTTGATGTCACACAAGTAAAAAAGAAAATAAAATCTGGTCCCTATTTAAAAATGACAAGAATAAAGCCGCAAGAAGTCCTGTTTGGGCAAACAGTAGGTAACGTGAAGAGAACAATTTTAGCTCAGACACACCTCCCTTTGTTCTTTTAATTGAAACCAGACTGGAATTTGACACTATTATATCAAAGAACTTATAAGCTGTAGTGTGACTAAAAAAGCAGATAACTGGATAATTATGTATGTGAGTTATAAATAATTTAAAAGACCCATCAAATACATAGTAATATAACAGCTGCTGTGTAAATCTGCACATAGTTCTGTTTTTGTGTAGCAGTAACATTTTTTAAATACGTTGGGCCAAGTTGTATATTTCATCGTTTTGTAATTGATCTTAAAATATCATTAATCTCTTGAAGTAATTATTTCAACTTTCTGCTTTTTCTAAATCTGAAATCAACACATTTTGCCCCGATGCCACATAAAGACTGATGACATAACAGGGCATGTGGGTGCCTTTTAATTCAAACATGGTCTAAAGAGCAAGATTTTTGGCAGGAATCTGAAATGATGAGGAAATTGTGTAAAAAACTAAAAGCATAAAGAGATATGAAATAAAGAAGAAGGATAAACTGAATATGAGAGGCCTTTTTCTGAAGCATATCACAAGGTGTTTTTTTTTGGCTGAGAAAACCAGAGCAGAAAAGCCTAGATGGGTGTAGCGTGTCATTGCTCTGCAGGAGTCTGGCATGTTTGGGACACTCATAAGCTTTTGGATTGCTGTCAGAGGACAGTGCGCTACAGTTGCATTGGAAAGCACCATCACAGTTCAGGAATATGCACCAAAGAGAACAACACCTCTGCAGTGTGATATTTGAAAATGCACCCAGATGATTGAGCAAAGATGATTTAGACCAAGTTTATATTCTTAATCACTGTTAACTTCCATTTTATCATCTGGTCAGCACACAATCAGCAGCTTCTTCTGCCCGTTCTGAGGTTATTACACAGTCAAAAATCACGATTTTATACTGAATAGCTGCCACGGATGTAAAAGTTTGTTCATTTTATAGAAAGTGGATAGAATAAAAATATGTTTGTCATAAGGGGGTAAAACATATTGATTTTCTTCTCAATAAAACTATAATTTTACTTTACTACAAATCTTTAATCATGTGTATTTAAGATAGCATATGTTGCAGTATTATCATAGAATTAATCGTATTTAGGTCTTGGAGAAAACTGTTAAACAGGTCCTCTCTGCTAAAGATTACGCAGTTGGTTTTCTAGTATATGAATAAGCATCCAGTTATAAGTTCTTGAGTTTAGAAAAACGACAAAGGCAGTGGTCAAGTTTAAAGTAAGAGAGAGACCATGATGTTCTTAACTGAATCTTCACAAAGGGTCAGATTTTTTAAAAATTCCAAATAAGCTACGCTAAATTGGACGTGCAAAGAAATTATTTGTACCTACAAAACTAGTGTCCTTCTATGGGCCATAATGCCTGCTAAAGGGCCCTCTTGGGAGCCAAAACACAAATGCGAAAGTTCCCTCTAAAGTGTGCAGAACCAGCTATATATTCAATAATTTTTGTTCCTTATGGTTTAGTTGTGTAAAGATTTTGCGTCATTCTGCTGCATTAATTCGTACTGACTTGCTTTGACATTTTTTCCTCCACTAATAGTTATTAATTCTACTAGTTTTATTCTTTACAGTCCTAATATGTTAACATGCACACAGACCCACTGTATCCATTGTCTGAATCAATGCCTCCCTTGTGACCACAATGACTGCAGAAATTATTGCATCTCAGTTTACACCAGACTTTTAAAAGTCGGCAAAAACCAAGACAGCAGTTGAGTTTTATATTTCAAAAATAACTTTTCATGTGGTAAATATATTTACATTTGCATATCCTCCACCCATAAAACGGTGCAGTTGCAAATGACTTTGCGCGGCGCCTTCCATGCAGATCTGCTCTGTGCATACAAACACGTTTGACTTGCTTTAAGACGGGCAGAGCTATTGAGGATCAGGCCCAAAGATTCAAAAAGTGAAACTTTCTACTCATGTTACAACTTTGCATTGGTTTTGTTTTACTCCCTTTTAACTCTTACCCTTGAATTAACTACTTTATGCTGACCGTTATTCACTCCAAAGCTTTAAACTTAATCCCAACCAAAATGTCTTGTTACTTAACAGGAATGTGCTTTGTTTCCTATAATTATTATTGATTTTTATTTATTTATTTATTTATTTTTTGCATAAAAAAGCAACATTGTCCTGTTAAAAGTTTTTAAGGATGTATTCTCTATTCACAGATATTCAAGCATCAAATAGAAAACAAATATGTCTGCAAAGCTGATTATCGGATATTTAGAGATGCTTAAGTGGAAGATGTTCCATCTTGAATAGTGTCGGAAAAATGCAACCTATTTGGTTTTCTTAATTCATTGTTTTTAGCTTCCCCAAAACTGAAATTAAATAGCCGCTACATGATATGTCATTTTATTTAGGCTTACTAGTTTTGAGGTAGAATTGAAGAAAGCCTGACTGTTTTCTCAGAGTCTGAACACTAAAATGCAGATGTTGTTTCTAAAACTATTCATTTGCATTCTGTTTTGTTTTTTTTTTTGTCTTTCTGCTTTAAGACAGCAGAGGAGATAAATAACAGGCTAAATGGTTTGAAGGTGGAAGAAGCTCTTGAAATCGAGAACAACACCTTTAAGAAAGTGAATTACTCATCGCTTCCAAAAAGTGTTGATTGGAGGAAACACGGCCTGGTTGGTCCTGTCAGAAATCAGGTACAAAATAATCTATACATCAACATCTGAAATGCAACAGCTGCTCTAAATGTTTTCTGCTGCTCTTCTTTTAAGGGGTTATGTGGTTCATGCTGGGCCTTCAGCTCTTTAGGGGCTCTTGAGGGGCAGATGAAGAAGCGAACAGGCGACCTTGTTATGCTGAGTCCACAGAACCTTGTGGACTGCGGCACTCAGGAGGGAAACCTCGGCTGCAGAGGAGGATACATCACCAAGGCCTTTAGCTACATCATCCACAACAAAGGCGTCGACTCGGAGCGCTCGTACCCCTACGAACACCAGGTGACCCAGACCATAGAGAAAATTGAACATATTATTTTTCTTTTTTCACTAATAAATAACGTAGTGTAACATCTTATGTAGCTCGTTATGGCAAAGGCATGAAATCAACTAAAATGAAAGATGAAGACTAAAAGGGATCCAATCATACCACAGATATTTGTTCAAATATTTATATTTTCTGTATTTCCCAATTTCTCATTTTGTCTTCAGAACGGAAAATGCCGCTACACGCTGCAAGGCAGGGCTGCCTACTGCTCAAACTTTCACATCCTTCCACGGGGAGATGAATTGGCTCTGCAGGCTGCAGTTGCATCCGTTGGACCAGTTGCTGTGGCTGTGAATGCCATGCTGCCCTCCTTCCATTCTTACAGAGGAGGTGAGGCTGCTGAATCCTCAAAATAAGGAACTTTGCCAAAATGTGTTTTTGCAAAATGTCTTATGTTTAAAAGAAACTCCTAAATAACACCAAACGTTCTTTTCATCAATTTTTCTAATTGAATAAACTGATTGATAACACTGCATATATTGTATGAAACTCCATAGCTTGAGATATCTGTGAAGATTCTCAGTCATCCAGGTTCAGTTTAGGCAAACTGAACTTTTCAAGCTTCATAATTTGAGGGTGCAAGATTATACAGTCTTAAAGACTATATAGTTAGAGGTCCTTAGTCTTCCCCAATAACTTTTACAAGGTTGGAGCTTGGATTTCTTTTCCTTTGTGCAAAATATCTCTGGGGTCCCAGGTCCTCTTTCCTTATTGAGTGTGCATGTGAGAGGCTTTTCCATTGATTTATCATTTGTTTTAGTCACGAGCCACCTTCGAAGTTTGTTTCTGAAATACTACATCTTAGATGGCACAGATCAAAAGCAAACAGCTTGCAATGAAGCCCCATGAAGCGTTATCATTATCATGTTTATGTTTGCAGTGGTTGGACAGTGGGATCTTTCTTAGTATCACTTTAAAATTACCCCGTAGTAGATTTAGGTGTTTATAATGGTTGTGGGAGATTTTGTAACCCCAAGATGACAAAAGTTTGGATAAGTACCTATTTCACTGATGCCTTTTCCTTAAATCTGAAGATGAAAATCTGTCATTTGTGTTACCTACATTTTCTGCCGTTTTCCGCTTTTCTTTTTTTAGAATGACAAAAAGTATTGGGATTCTGTTCCATATATTTTTACACTTAAATAAATTTTATTGTCATCTTGTATACATATAGTTTATACAAAACGAAATTTTGATGCATACAACTTTTCAACAGTGAATGAGCAGCTTACAATAGTAAAATGAACTTTTCCATTCATAAAGTGAAGCAGCGATCAGAATGTAAACAGTGTAGGAGAAAAGGAAAGTTTAAAGTTTAAAGACGTGGTGCAAAAGGCATTGATATGGAAAGGCTCAGTGCAGTGCAAATAAATAAATAAATATGGTGCAAAATGCAGTACTGACAGTATTCACACCCCATGCAAACATTGTAAAAGACAATCTGATCGAACCCAGAAAAGCAAAGTATACATTTGAAATGTCTCAGTTCCATTTATTCTTTAAAAATTGATGGAAATATCAGCAAATGTGGTGTTAGTAAATTTGTAAAGAGTAAAGAAAAGTCATTTTGATTTTATTCTAATTTACCCGATGAAAGGTTCAATTACACTATGAATGAGAAATGATGCTACTGAAAGGTGCTAAATGACAGAATACTGTGGTTTAAATAGTTTCACCTCATTTTTAAAGTTTTTTTCTTAGGTACTATGCGCTCCTCTAAGTTTTACGTGTCAATTTGTCAAAGGAAAACTTCTTTCTTATTCGATTCCTCCATTTACATGCATGTATACATAATACCTTGGGATTACGTACTATCTGAATAAAAGAATATTCAATATTTATGCTATTATAAACACATAACCAGTATAGAACTGTTTCATTTACTGTTGCTTTGCACATTATTCTTGCAGGTTTATACAATGTGCCTGACTGTAACCCAAAGTTGATCAATCACGCCGTCCTGGTCGTGGGTTACGGCACAGACGGAGGACAGGACTACTGGCTGGTGAAAAACAGGTACAGATGTTTTTCTTAGTATTTACATTTTTGTAACATTTTGTTTTCTGTCATAAAACTATAAAGTGTAATGTTGTGTGGTTTCAGCTGGGGAACAGAATGGGGAGAAGGAGGCTTTATCCGTATTGCAAGGAACAAGAAAAACCTCTGTGGCATTGCAACGTTAGCAGTCTACCCCACGCTGTGACATCAACCTAGATTTATTTAGTTTTCATCTTACTTCTTTGTTTGTTTTTATAAGTGCACATTGTTTTTTCAGAGCACTGCAGAATTAACAGGGTGTACTAAAGATACACTGTTGGTTTAAGAAGCTCTAACCTGCCGATATAATAAAGTATTCTGAAGGATTTTGTTAGCTTCAAAGGGGGCTGAACAGTTGCACAACCCTTAGCGCCGTTTTCTTGCAGCAAGAATATCCTGGGAAGGAATACTAGCCTGGGGTCTTTCTGCACGGAGTCTGCATGTTCCCTCTGTGCAGGAGCAGGTTTTCTCTGGGTACGGTAACTTAGCTTCCTTCGACTACCCAACAACTAGTGTTGCACTGATACCAGTATCAGGCGGGGCCCCAATCCTGCACTAAAATGGTGGTATCGGCGAGTACCAACAAACAGGGCACCGATACCATTTTGAGAGCCAAAAATGTATTCAACTATTGTCACCCATTCCAGGTAGGCAATAAAAAGTTCTACTGGATTCACTTTGTATTAGTCTTTTGCTTGCTTTACTTCACAAAGGTTGACATGATGGCAATTATTTTACATCCAAGTAGTACGCAGTTCTTCATATATACACACACAACTCAATTTCAAACATATGGTATCGGTATTGGCCGATACTGCACAGCCAGGTAACGGGTATCGGTATCAGGGCCAAAAAAATGGCATCGTGCAACACTACCAAAAACATGACTGTTCGACCAATAGATCTCTGTAGGAATGAGAACAAATATCTGAGAATGTCAGCAGCATGCAAACAATTCCAAATAAAAAAATGCAAAGAGAAAATATTTAAAATTACGTTTCAATTCACATTAAAGAAGGAAAAAGAACTTAACCCTTTAGACTCAAATATTGGTGTAAAGACCAGAACTATAACTTCTACCCCCTTGTAAAAGCTGTAAAAGTAGCTTAAAGCTATTCATAGTTGATGGGAGGATGAATGGTTGCAATAACACTGGGAAAAAAATCAAAATCTAGATAAGTCATTTTTACTAAAATAGGTGCATTTTTTATTGGATTGGGGTTGTAAAAGATGCATTTTACCAACGGAACAAGACCATTTACATATAAAATAAATAAACACAATTGCGTTGTCGTATTTTAAGTGCATGCTATCTAATTATCTTATTTTAAGAGTAAAAATACTCATTCCAATATACTTAAAATAAGACATTTTTACTTATTTCTAGATTGTTTTGCCAGTGCACTGTGCAATTCTGCAAGATAACCTGTTAAATGTTTACACATTATGTTGAACGGATCTATCCTAGCAGGAGCAAGGCCCTAAAAATACATCCAGAACTAAAATTGAATATTTTATGAACAGATGCATTTGATATGATGGCGACGACGATGACGAGTTACATTGATAGAAAGCTGCTGTTGATACACACTCTGTTTTCTTTTTTACACAAAAGTCTTTCTCAATTTTTCAGGTTTACTAAAACAGCTTCTGTATGTACACCTATGTAAATTGCCCATCATGTGCTTATCACTTTAAAATGGTGGGAAAAAAGCCTCAGTCTGCTTTTCTTCTCTCTGCTTTCATATTCAGTGCATCGCCATGCCTTTAGAGAGTTTCAAAGATGATCACCAGAATGATAATTTTGACCCTATCCTAAACAAATATATGATATAATCCCTGCTTACGTGTGAGTAAATCCTCTTTCTCCTGCTACGACTGTGCTGAAAGGGGAATTAAAGTACTTGGGGACTATTGCAGAAGGTATGACCTTAAATCCTTTCATAAACTGGAAGCAAAAAGTAAGTCACATAACATGACATTGGACATTATATATACTCATATTATCAGCTCTGCAGTTTAAATAAAGACTAATGAAAGGATTTAAGTTATTAAATTATGAGGCATCGAGAATGTGTCTGTCTGTGTTGCTTTTACATTTTGTCTACAGAAATATGCATCGTACTAATAATACATTTTCAAAGTTGTGTGTAGTTACCCCTGGTTATCTCCCATTCTTTAACCTTGTAAATGGAAAAAATACAATCCATGGTGGGTGGTGGCTAATGGGATACTCATGCCCTCCTCCACTATTACACTCTCTGATCATTCAATCTGCTTCCTTTGCAATTAGTTTTTATATGATAAACCTTCTTTTTAAAAGAAACAAAGATCATTGAAATAATCTACGTGGTTTATCAAAAGAAAACAGTTGTATGTGCCTTTTAATGAATTATTTTCATAATTAGGAAAAGAATATGACATCCCTAACTGTTTTATCAGCCTAAATTTTCTAGATTTCTCAAAGACATGAGTTTCAGCTTGCTAACAGGGTGTCAGACAAAATGTAAACCTTCTCATGTTCTCCAAAACTGTTTTGATAAACACAACTGACCTTAAACTGAACATTTCTGAGAGGACATGATGCCAAAAAAAGGTTATGCTTTTAAAAACAAGTTAAGCATCAAGAGCTGGAAGGCTAAGAAAATGACATGGAAGGATAAGTGATGACATAACATGTTGATTGATCAGAGCATTGATCTGATCACTGAATAGAATAATGGCTGTTCAACGAGGAAAAAGATCTCAAAGTACATCATTATTGGAGGAGTCAACCTCCCAACCCCTGGTAATGTGATTTGGACTCTTTAGCGCTTCTGGTCAACAAATCTGCATCTCTACTTATGCATAATTGGATATTTTCAGCCCCAAGCTGGTCTTCATCTGTACAGAATTATGTCCAGAATTGATTCTCTTCTTATTTCTAATGGGGCTTGGATTGGTATATTTATGTTTTTTAATGTATTTATTAGTTGTTGTTGTTTTTTTGTTGTTGTTGGTTTTTTTTTATTGTTTTTTGCTGTGTTTATTTTTTTATTTCATCAGTGAAGATCATAGATTATAAACAACCTCTTAAAATATAAATTCACCATTGCTTATAACTCTATGTATTATTATTACTTTAATTGTTTAAATGGTAAATTATAATAGGGATGAAAACATATGACACGAATGGATCTTTGTTTACCATTCACACATATATTAAAGTGCAATATTAATCTCTGAAAAAAAAAACAAATTTTGTAATAAAGAGAAAAAAAAACTTTTTAATTCCCACCTTTCATGTCTTGCACAGCATCATGGGCTTATAGAAAAAAAGAAAAGCATACCTCCATCTCATCTTGCTCTGTCTCCCATATTTGATCAGGGCTGTTTATGGCTTGTTATTGCTGCCCCCAAGTGGACAAAATAAAAAGTCGAATGTCTCATTAGTTGCAGGTGTGTAGCAGGCATGGCATAAATATATGCTGATAAAGCTGAAAAAAATGCTGAATGTGATTTCTGCAAAGAACAGCTATACAGGTGGGTGATGGTTGAATCTGTCACTGTGGAGAATTTTGACTTCTAAAGTAATTAGTCTTTTACTTTACACATGCATGAAAGTTTCCCATATTTTTGTCAAGTTAATATAAATTATTTTCTTTTACGTTCACATTGACATCTCTGAAACAATTGCAACCGTGTCCTCTTGCTGAAGCAGAATAAGTTAGCAAGCCTCCTTTTTATTTACCTTTTTGTTAGCTCTCACCATGTTTCAGAGCCTGCTTTTCACAGTGCTATGTGGCATTGAAGTGGCTGCTATAAGCTCAAATTTGGATCCGCACTGGGAGATGTGGAAGACGACGCATAACAAACTGTATGCTCATCAGGTAAACGGAGGTCTCCAACCTAAGCAAATAGTTCCTAAACTCTGTAATTGTTGAAGGTTGACCATGCTTTATTTGAGGTTGAAGAGCTTGGTCGCAGACGGTTATGGGAGCAGAACCTGGAAATGATAAATGTCCATAACTTGGAGACCTCCCTTGGCTTGCATACCTATGAGCTGGCCATGAACCACATGGGGGATTTGGTGAGTATTTTCATGTAGTACATTATATGGTAAGATTGGTCTTTGAAATCCTAATGACCTCAGTGGCATGTGATGCTCCATCTGTTTTCAGACCCTTGAGGAGGTCACGTCATCTCTTGCAGGGACCATTGTACCATCGGAGCTTGAGAGGGTCCCCTATGAATTCCTCAAAATTAACAGATCTCTACCAGAATCTTTGGATTGGAGAGAAGAAGGGCTAGTAACACCAGTAAAAGCACAGGTAAGCTCAGCCTTGATTTAATAAATCCTTGATTTAAAACAACAAAAAAGGTCTGTGGGTGTTCCCACCATTGCCTCCTGTAACCACTGATATCTTTTAGGGTTCTTGTGGTTCTTGCTGGGCATTTAGTGCAGCTGGTGCCCTGGAGGGCCAACTTAAGAAAAATAAAGGCATCCTAATGTCCCTCAGTACTCAAAATCTTGTGGACTGTTCTTCAAAATATGGCAACTATGGTTGCAGAGGTGGATTCATGTCAAATGCCTTCCAGTATGTTATTAACAACCAGGGTATTGACTCTGATGCAGCTTATCCCTACATTGGTAAAGTAAGTGACCTCGTCTAATGGCCCTGTGATCAGACGCGCCAGAAAATATCCTTAAAGTCTCTTCCTAACCTTTTCAGCCAGGTCAGTGCAAGTATAATCCAACATACAGGGCCGCAAACTGCTCAGCGTATGGCTTCTTGCCAAAAGGGGATGAGTTTGCCTTGAAAGTGGGCCTTGCACACATTGGCCCAATTTCTGTTGCAATTGACGCTTCCAGCCCAAAATTTCATTTTTACCGTCATGGTAAGTCTGATCACAGCTATTCCCATAAAGAAAGGTAATTAAAAGAGGCTGCAAAGCAACAATCTCTGTTGGCCCAACAGGAATATATAAAGACCATTCATGCTCTCACAACGTAAACCATGGAATGCTAGCAGTGGGATATGGTACTGAAAATGGAGAGGACTACTGGCTGATCAAAAACAGGTAAGTAGGAAGTTTGTTTCGATTCTCATCCAACAATACTTGGCTTGTTTCTAACTTGTCTTATTTACAGTTGGGGTGAGCACTTCGGAGATGAAGGATACATCAAAATGGCTCGGAATCGAAACAACCAGTGCGGCGTTGCTCTCTATGCTTGTTTTCCCATTATGTGACCAATAATCTCCATCAATAAAGTAAAATTTGTCCCACAAATAATATATGAAGATATTTGAATTTTAAAAATTGTTGTAGCTGGAGGGGAGCTCCCCCAAAGTATTACCCATGGGAGGTTAAATGGAGTGACTGAACAATCAGACTTTACGCTTTAATGGGACAGCTGCCTCATACTACCAATAATTCTTAGAAACATGACATTAAACCAAAATATGATTATCAATTGAAACCAACTGGAAAAGAACACTTTTTTTGGGTAGTTGGCTCATGAAATCTACTGTTGTCCAAAGGTACACAAAGCTTATTGTAACTTGGACATAAAAAACTTTTTAATTGAAAAGTTCTTTGCAGGAGCTTGAAATACTGTAGTTTCTAACAGACCCTATGCAAACCTGCAAAGCACTGTTTTAACTAGAATGTGTTCTATTTTGGTCAGAAGAGCAACTTCTAAAATCCTTTGAGGCTTTGTGGAATTGGAGGCTTTTTAAAAAGGGAAAAAAGAAAAAATTATATATTTTTTCTATAGGATGGGTGCATATTAAAAAAATTCAACTCAAAGTTTGGGGAGTAGCAGAGCTACATTCATGCTATTAAAAATGTCATGTTGGTCTGAATGGATCTGATTTTTATGGAACTTGTACTTTTATCACTTTTTATTCACTACCACAATAGTGTTGGAATCAATTTTCAATACCTGAATCACACATACAGGGTCTCTGAAGCCTGTCGCCTATCACTCTGGATGAGAGTCATTAACCCTGGATAGGCCAACCAGTACATCACAAGGACATGTTGAAGTTTGAGTCCTGCATACGAAAAAGTCACTTTTTTTTTTTTTTTTTTGACTTAAGTATTTAGCACTTTTTGGATCAAATGGCTGTCGGAGAATATTTTATTCTGAACAAAGTAACTGCAAATGGTTAAATGTATCGTCTGAATCAGAAAATGAGTAATTGGTCTTCAGAACATCTGCTTGAGTTTGTGATATTTGGTTGATCACTGATTTTTCTATGTGGCATGCGAGACCAGTTGGGCTTTTTCTTTCTTTCTTTGGAGGATCAAATTAAATGCAATAGTTGTGCATGCAGCTGGTGTCATGGTATTACAATGAAGATATAAATAGATAAAACTGATAAAGTTCCAGAAAAATGGTGTCAAACAGATGATGTCTAAAGGCAAACTTTAAAATAATGCTTGTAAATGCAAATGCAAGACATATTTTTAAAGATTTATTTCCATTATAATTCATAATGTTCTTCAAAGAGCTGGATAACTGCCATGAAAAGGCAAAACCCAGCACAATGAACACTTCTCACAGAAAATACATACAGCACCTTTTCATCATCACTTAAATAATCTCAATATCCATAATATATTTACCAAGATTTTCATTCGTCATTTACAAAACACAAAGACGACACAATAGTTTGTTTTTTCATATTTAACTTTTTTGGAATTGTTTCCTTGATATTTTTTTTTCCCCACAAATTCCATACTTTCACATAGAAACATTTACAGTTTCCACACACGATACACTTAATTCAGAAATTAACTTACATTTAGAGAAGAGCCTTTATCAGTAAATAAATCGATCAAAGTCAAAATGAAAAAGACACAAATGGAAACTCCTTCTGTCCCACATATAGTGAAGGATTCTCACTATCTGCAGACAAGCATTATCACAGGAATGGGTTCATCCTTATCTGGGGTGGAGGGGGTAAACGATTTATTTAGAACTCATCTGTATGTGCTTAGGAGTCGATCAGACAGAAATCATGCCATGAAAACACCTTTAACACATCACCATAGTCAAAGGAAGTGTTATGGTCCTGTAAACAGCCAAAATTAAACCGGTGAAAAGTTTTGTATTTGTAAATACATAGATTTTACGCATACAACCAAAAATTATTAGAAGTTTACATTTTGGACAGTAAGCAGAGAGCTTTACTAATAACCCTATGTGTTTAAAACGAAAATGTTCCTACCTTAAAATTGAGGAAAACTCAAAATATTGCTTACCTGTCCTTTTTTTTCTATAAACTCAAACAAGCAGACTTATATTTAGTTTCTACATAATTAATGCACATTTTTGGCTCCCTTTAAGATTGCCTCTTCCCGGCCTTCTCTATTTATACACCTCTAGATACTCTGGATGTGCTCTAAACCTCCTCCCAGATATGTATTTATAAACTATATCAGTGTGTTGAGGTAACCTGGGCCCAAGCTAAATGGAACACAGTCACCAATAACTAACTTTCACCAACTTTAACCCCACTTTGATAAACAACAATCACTGCAAGCAACAGATCTATGTCATCATACAACAATAAAAATCACTGGTTCTCTTGCTTTAGACAAAAACAGCTGGCATACAGGACGTCCAAGAGATTAGACAATACGACTACAAACATGCGTCAAGCTTGGCTGAATACGGAGGTTTGATGGGTTAAAAAAGTCGATTTCAGGTAGGCTTTTCTCACATGTTTAAACAGAGAAGTAGTCAGATCATGTCTTTGAGTAAGGCTTCAATTTCATCCTTTCAAAGACTCAAGTCTCATGAAATAAACAGCATTCAAGTCTGAAGAAAAAAATAAAAATAAAATCTACACTGCATATTTTTTCATTCTGGGTTTTTTTTTTCATCCAAGGGATGAAAGAAAAGTCTTTAGAAAAGGAACATTTGTTTCACACAAACACACATTTGGACATTTTGCAACATGATGGGAGACATTGATTTAAAGAGATTCATCCACAAACAGAAAGTAAATCTGGTGACGTTAAAGGTTCAGAAATGTTTACTTGCTTAATTTTTGTCATCAATAACCAGTAGGCTAATGAAGATTTTTTTAAAAAGTTTAAATTTAAGATTGAAATGGAAGGAAATTGTCTTTTCTTTTTTATGTGGTAAAATAAAAATAGGCCAAAAGGAGACTTGATTTTTCTTCTAAAGATTAAACAAATTAACAGGAAAACAAGAATCAAACATTGAACAGAGAAACCAGACATAAAAACTAGTGCCAGTTCCTGTTTAGAATTATTAGGACTTTCTTCAATTTGTGAAAAGAAAAAAGAAAGAAAAAACCTTCCCCTTTTGGTTTTTTTTTTGTTGATTGTTTTTTATTTTAGTTTAATATTTTTCATCTGAATAAATTGGATAACATTTTTTTTGTTTTTACTGTTGCCTTCTAATCAGAAAATTTAGTTCCCTAAAGAAAATTAAACATCAAACATAAAAAATTTTGTTTGCAAAATGTTTTAACCAAGTTATGGACGAACAGCAGTTTATAATGGGTTGTGCAGAAGCTGTATAAAAAGCCATAACTGCATCTCTACAAACTTAATGACTATTTATCTGACTCATTTAGGTAAAACTGCTGCTTTTACATCTTTCTGTGTTAACTAGATGTTACATTGCACATGCTAGATTGTAAATAAACTCCTAAGTTTTGTTAACATTTTAATATGTTAAAGATTAAATAACTGTAACTCTGGCCTCCTTGCACTTCCAATAAGATAATATTTTTCCCCAAATGTAAAATGCTGCATTAGACTAACAGAAGTGTTTTTATAGGATTTTCATCCAAAATTCTATAAGGTTGAATTTTATTATAGACCTATGTTTTAGTTTTGTTTTTTTTTTGTTTTATCCCTAAATTTTAAAATTTATTCTAATGTTATGTGTGATTGGTTTGGTTTCGGGTCATCAACTCTTCTGAGAAGTATGCAATTAAATACTTTGATATATTAATACAACTATATATATAGTATAGAAAAAATAGAGCAATTTAAAATCAGATTTATGAATTTATCCTTTTTTCTAACTTTAAAAAAATGCGTAGGATAAACAAATATGTTGAACTAATTACTGATATTTATTTCTAATAGAAATATTTTCCTATTTGTAAACAACTTATTTTTTTAAAAATCATCAACTTATTCTGTAACATATTTAATAATAACCCATCCACGACTATAAAATAACAGTACGCTACTTGTAAACACATGTACACAGTTAAGGGGATGTTTTTAGGTCAAAATCTTACACTCAGTGATTGTCAGCACATGTAAAGTAAAACTTTAGAGAAATTATACACAGAAACTATAATGAGATATAATCTAGATATATAATCTACTATGTATTTAAAGTGTTAAAAGTATTAAGTTGGGGTGCAGTATAGTAAGTAATCATTTTGGTCAGTGATGCGTTTTGGCTCAATTTGGCATTTTGGACTTTCCTAATTTTATAAATAATAACCTTTTAAAATTTATTTTTAAGTGTCTAAATGGATATGCACCTACACCATTAAGCAATTGCATACAGATATTGCACAATCCACTAGAGCGGTTTCCAATGCAAATTGTAAGATCCCCTTTTGAAGAACCACTTTTGCTCAAAGTGACCTGTCCGTGAGAGGATCTGCAGTTTTGAACTTACTTCCTGTTGATTTAAAGACTGTAACCAGTTTCAGTATGTTCAAAACCAAACAAAATTCTGGTTATATCAAAAACAGAACTGTATCCATTTTTGATGTTTTTATGTTTTACTGTTTGTTTGTAGATGTTGTCAATATCACGTTGTTTCATTTTATCTAAATGACTATTGCTTTAATTTTTAGAGGTTCTTTTTAAAAGCCCATCTATGGACAAGTGCTACAAAGTAGCTGTTGCTATTGCACTATGATGCAAACATTGGACTGCTATTTTGTTCAGTTTGTCTATGTGGATGTGTGTCGGTCGCTACCAAATAAACTTTTAAAGAAAAATGGAGCCCTTAAAATTGTTATCTGATGCACAATTTTTTTCATTTTCGGTCCCATTTGTGAATCTAGCTGGAATTAAGTTATATCATGATAAAGGTGGACTCAAACTAATCCTAAATAACAGTTTAGGTTTCTAATCAAGTTGCTTTTCTGTTTTGCCTAAAATTACAAGCATTTTTTAACCATTGCAATGATGCTCACACTGAAATGGAGACGGTATTGGCCAGTGCAGAGCAGGTCTGTGTCACATGGCCTTCTCTGAACTACATATACCCAGACAACTATTAATGAAGTAGAGGGATGCAAATAAAGCAGAGGAAACACTACTTACTAAGTTCAAAGCAAAGTGATACGTTTATGAAGCAGCAATTAGACTTTTCTACATTTTTCTAATGCACACACTCCACTAAAAACAACAATTAAATGTGATTCCAGTCAAGCGTGCACCCATGACGTTATTATGAACCAAATTGTCCATGAGTTACAGCACTAGGCACAGCACATTAGCCTAGCACTTCAGCAAACTTCTTTGCATATTTGTCAGAAGTAGGGTCAAAAAGTATGTTTTAAAGACTGTAGCTGTATGCGTGGAGTCATATGTTACAGGTCTGATTCCACACTCATAGCTACAGAAATCATAATTATCATATATATTTAAGAATGTAGTAAAGCTATGGTTGTTTCAAATGACATTTCAGCACAATATAGCAATCTCCCTAACCACTTGTTGTCTTAACAAAAAACTAATTAATTTTATTTAACCTAACCAGATCAAACACATTTGCAATATCCTTTAGGCTGTGCAGCAGAACAAACATATATAGCGGTGGTAGTGAAAACTTTTCATTCTGAACTGGAACATCCCATTCCCTATCATGATTGGGATGTTCCCAATCATGATAGTTCAAGGGATTGAATAGTATCAAAACAGTACAACTTTAAGGTAACATCTATGTCTGTTTACAATCTATGTAGTCTTCTATCTGGACACTAGAGGGCAGAAAAACCTGACCAACTGCATGACTTGTGTTTATTTTTCGACATAAAGAAAAAATGTTTTGAAATATGTAAACATTCTGTTGCTAAATATAAAAAAAGGATCCAAATACAAAAACTGACATAAAAATAAGAAAATCAATACGATTGTTTTCTTAGATATACTTTTGTGAAGGTAACCCCAAAACATTTTCATCTGAAAAAAAAGATTTCACTTCATGGGTTTCCAATTCACCCCCTATTATGCAAGCAAATAACTAATAGAGACAAAAAAGCACAATATGGTTTCCTCTCACACGCTGATATTTGACCCAAATTCATCCCAAAGACGTTCCCCTGTCTCACCCATTAAACATCCACAAACTGTCACACAACAGAGAGGGTAAACATTGGTTTAACACTGAAGAACTGGATCCAACTACTCCCATGTGCAACAAAGAATCCTGTGAAATGCATCTTCACCTGTCTGAGTAAATCAGCTTTACAGGGATTGTTTTGTAAGTTTTGGTTGGTAACATCAGCTCTCTGGTAAGGTGGTCTGGCAGTGATGAACTGAACAAGTCAATAAAATAATTAACAGCTCTGTTAGCCTACGGAGATTAAGACACATGAGTAAAGAAGAAGACTGCAATCTTACCTTTTTACAATCTTTCCCCCAGAAATGAAATCAATTTCTTCTACTATTCCACCATTAATACATTTTGATATAAATTGAATGTTTCCATTTGGACCACATAACCACTACTGTAGGACTACAATTGTATCATACCTGACAGAGCAGCTGTAACTATGCTGCAATGGTACAGATTTTCAAAAATTATTAGCTTTTCTGCAATATCTGACACTGAGTGATGCAATCCACATTTCAAAGGATTCGGGGCTTACTATAGGGGGAAAGGCAGTCTCTACTGTTGCTGTGAAAAGGACGGGCAGCGCTGAAGCTCTCAGAGATGTTCAGGCCTGTCACTCCCTCACTCACTCCAACTGAACTCTGCTGCCCAGTGCTGGTCGTCTGTCTTACTGCAATACTTGGCCTCTGGTCTCAGGCAGCTTTGTGGCGAGGAAACTACCGGCAGCGAGTGCGCCGGCAGCGAATATGATGGGGACCGCTTTGGTGATGCCCACAAACGACTGGAAGATGCTAATTCCCAGAACAGCTGCCAGTTTGCAGAGGGCGTTCAAGAAGCCAAACGCTGTGGTCCTGAGGACAAGAGCAAAATGGTGGTTATAGTTTCAAAATGGGGGGATATGGGTCATTCAAGAATTGGAAAACATTTTATGTCTCCACCATGAAATTTTAAATAAACCGTGCACAAAATATAAAAAGCATCCCCTAAAATTGCTTGTTCTCTCTAGAATTGCCACTTCTAATGAGGACGAAGTTACAAATATAAGAAATAGGTTTAAATAATCCATCCATTATCGTAACTACTTATAGCCTAATGGGGTCACAGGGTAGGGGGGGTGACTGGAGCTTATTCCAGTAGTCAATGGGCAAGAGATGGGGTACACCCTGGACAGTCCGCTAGTCACTCACAGGGCCACACAGAGACATGCAGAGACGAACAGCCACACACACTCACACTCACTCCTGAGAATGTCCAATCATCCTAACATATAGAGAACCCAGAGAAAACCCATGCAGACGCAGGGAGAACAAGCAAACTCCACACAGAAAGGTCCTGTTCCCCAGGACTCAAACCCAAAACCCTCTTGCTGTAAGGCGAAAGTGCTAACCACAACACCACCATGCCGCCACCTATTAATAATATTTTTTAGTATTATTTTGTTGATATATTTTCCCTGTTACTGTTAAAACCTTTTGCTTTAGTATTCCCCTTTCCCACTGGCCTAAACACCTGTTTAAACCCAGGAACATTCGGCTTTTAGTGGCAATGGGACAGGCTCACTGATGCATGTCTACCCAGGTCAAATGGCTCAGCAATCGACCCGCGTTAAAAAAAATCATATCGGCTCCGGTTGGAATGCTGTGGGAACACCAGAGCCGGTCGACCTGCTAAATTATGTGATACCATTTAACTCAACGAACTGACGTCAATGCACCACACCAGCTACGTCTGATCTAACAAGCCGAAACAGTTCTGTTTACATTCTATAAACATGGCGCAACAATGGTAAGACAGATTCAGACAGATAGTAGAGCATGTTGCTGTCCATTGTTTACTATTTTGATTTCTGTCTAACTGGTAACATCATCAACGCTAACCCAGCATGGTGGCGTCACTAGCCGTAGGGGGACAGAGGCCATGCAGCTTGCCAGCTAGGATATGGACCCAGCTTTTTATGCCAATGAGAAGGGAACCAAATGCTGATAGTTAGCAGGTCAACCCATGGTTGACAATCACGCATTAACGCGGTATTTTCAGTGGGAAAGAGGCTTAAAAGACACATTTTATATGGTAGTAGTTAAGCTTTGAACTTTGGTCCTCAATAAATAAGTAACCCTGGGGCCCAGCTGAACCGACCTGCTCAAATTGCTTGCTCTGATTATAGCTCGCTACAAGATTCAACCTTCAACATTAGCATCGATTTGTAACCCCTTACAGTAATCATTGTAACAGGGCTACAGACATCAGTACGCAGCAGAAACGCACATGAATGACGCTCGTCAAATTATACTACAGCCTTCTGAAAACGAACCACAAAAACTTGAGGTGTAAAAATGTAGCAAACAGGGAAAGGTCTTTGTCAATGATACCAAAACTTGACGGTGGTACATTTGTATGTGTCACACACAGTTTTTGTGCCACACACTAGCCTAGTAAACTAGCCCAACCCACTAGCCTCGATCAATGCCCCAGGCCCTAAAACTGGCGGGCCATTCACAACGCAGAGATGTGTTTTGAATTTCTGGATGCAAAGCAGGCAGGGTTTTGAGGACGTGACGACAAAGCTGCGCGACTCTGGAGAAAGCACAAAAAGGAAGATGTCAACAACTGTTGTGCAGTTCTCGTTTGACTCAGCTTTGGAATCAGTTTTGGAAGGATTAGACTTGGGTTTTTGTTGAAATGTGAGCAGGAAGAGGCTCTACACTCATTCATTTTTAAGAAGGACGTATTTTCCGTTTTACCAACAGGCGGTTTGTTTACACTCCGTCACCACCTTTCTGTCTCGCTTACTATGTCACAGTCAGTTGCGCTCATTGGTCAGAGCGTTGGCCAATAGGCACAGATATGGTTTGAAAAGCAACAGGTTGTTCTCATCAAAAATATTCAGATGTCACCAATATCAGACTTGTGGAAATCCTGGGTAAAACATGGAGCTTTGGCCTCTTGCATACTGTAACTTTAACTGCCTCCTTATATTCCTAATTATAAGATTGACACAATACATGTGTTTTTATTGTTTTTACATACATAAACATAAACTACTTGTTCAGCAAAAAAAGCAGGACAGATCCTGAAAAATGTCATATATATAGAATTAAATTACTAGTTGGGTCAAAAGTTATGTAGTGTTTGTATAAAAACAGCTTATAAGAGTTATACCACTGACAACCCATAGAATGGACAGATTAAAACAGCTGATCTTGTACATCCTACCTTTTATCAGAGGGATACAGCTCCACTGTTATCACATCCAGAGCATTCCACGAAGCAATGCTGATACCACCAAACAGACACAAGAGGGCGATCATTCCCGATTCACTGTTGCCAAACATCAGGAAGAAGCAGCTGACACAGGATATGATGCTAGATCCCGCTGGGGAAGGAGATCATTTAAAGGAAATGTAATTGTGATTTTAAAATGAACAGCATGTGTTAGTATTCCAAACTGATTGAATATACCTACCCAGCATTCTCAAACGGCCAATTTTGTCCATCAAAAGAGCAGAGACGATGTTCCCGGGGAGCACAGCTAATGTGCCGAGGAAGTTGACAAAATAAATCATGTAGGCGTTGTTGAAGTCATCACTGAAGTCCAGAATGCAGCCCTCCTTGTTGTGAAGGAAGGTGCTGTTAATCAGCTTACAGTTGACAAACCTGTACTTGAACAAATCTGAGAAGAGAAAAAATTTTTTTTTTTTTAACAATACTGAAATAAAGTCAAAGAATCATCCACAGAAACGATTGCAAACTTCTCTGGGATTCAAATAAAAGGCATAAAAGCTATTGCAATATTTGTTTGTGAGTATGGTGATATCATGCTGCATAGCATCAGTCCTACGACACCTTGTTTTGCCTGTAGGACAGAAACGTACATTGTGGTCTTGTTCTACTAACTGTAGGCATAACTTCTTGTCTATTTTCTTTCTATGATCAGTGATTTTCACACTGCTCCATGTAGACTAGATTGTAAGATTTTCATCTGCTGAAGTATGGATCTCTGCAGATCATCCAGTTATCATGAGCCTTTTCATCCAAATTTGTTTTTTTCTTCCCCAACATTTGCAATTTTGTTGAAAAGTCAGTTCTTGATAGATCTGATGTTCAGCTCTACTCTTTTGTTGTTAGGATGATGCCTTGCATAGTGCTGTGTGGGAGGCTAAAAGCTTGAGACATTGTTTATTATACAACAATATTCTAAATCTCTTTTAACCTGTCTGATGTTTGTTCACCACCAAACCTCTGAAGTGTTCACAAGCCAGTTGGCTTTGTGCTGAGGTTACACTGCACACAAGTGATATGCAGCATATGGCTACACAGCATTATATTTAGCTTTATCACAGTAAGATGAACTCCTTCCTTTTATTTCACAATCATGTACATCATTTTATTTCTATCACAAAATAAATATAACAGTTTGGAATTGTATCATGGTAAAGCCTGAAAAAAACTGTAGGTTACATCTGTAAAGTATTGCAAAAAAAACATAAGACAAATCTATATTCTATATCTATATTCTATTTCTATATTCTATAAATCTATATCATCTATATTCTTCTGTTACCCATTGAGCCATTGAATAACCTGAAGAAAAGCAATTCTTATTCCAGACTGTTTTTCTGATTTCCCATAAGTTGAAGAATATATGACCCAATGGTTTACCATAAAGGTGATTCTACAAACCTATGCTTGCCATAATTAGAAACTGCCCCTCTGTTGAAGCTGTTACCAGTTTATAAATTTTTTTGGTGTCACTCTTGAGCATGTTCACCTTTTCTCCTTCTTAAACTACTTTAGGATAAAATGCAACATCATGTTGAAAATGGGATAAAAAATGAAGTAAATCTTTACAGGGGGGTTATGTATGCAATCCTGCTCGAGCTGCATTTGATTTATGGTCGCTTTCATGAAGATAATGCAAGAACTACAGCCACACCATCTTTCTTGCTTGTTTCCAATATGTTTTATGGATAATGATGAACATAAAGTGTTGGCTTCAGGCACTAGAGGGAGGAGGTTGATGCTCTCCAAGTGTACAAGCCTGAATAAATCAGTGACAGCAAAGAGTGGAGGGCTTGAAATGCCAGTGAAGAAAATGTCGACTCTGACCTGTTGATTTAGACCACTTGCAGGAATCGAAACCACAACAGAAGCCCTTAAATGACTTTGTCTCTACGCACTCAGATAACTTGGTCTCATATTCCCTGTTCAATTTATGTTCCCTAAATCTCAAAGCACTTCTTCTCATCTAATCCAATCAATCTGTGTCTGTGCTGGATTTGTTTGCGTTGCCGAGGTTACTGTTTGTGCTGCTAAAGAGTAACCAAGGGTTACAGGCATCATAGGGTTTCTGCTGCTGCCGTCACTGGTTTATTTCCATGATGGCCAGCATCGCTGTGTGTTCAAGATTAAAGGTTATCATAACAAATGTAAGGATTTGTTCCATCTTTTTTTATTTTATAGTATTTAGAGCAGTATTTAGTGGGTTGGTTTTCCTCTCTATTGCAGTTCTGTATGTCTGTATATTGTTCTCACTTCTGTGATACTACCCTCATTAATAACACTTACTAATAGTGTCATCACATTCTCAGTGCAGCTGTCATCAGCGTGTGGCAATAATCTAAATCTACAAATCTTATAGAAGTTTTCTCAGCTTTTCTTTTCTGATCTAATTTGCATCTTAGTGAAACCAATAATGTATAAACCACACAGCTAGTGTGGTGAAATAGTTTTGGCTTTTTTGTCACACCAGTCTGGCTTTGTGACTTTCTTGGAGACTTAATGGCAAATGAGCATCTGCGATAACTGGCGATGCGTGTTTTACATCACTGTAGGGGGATTTTGGGTCAACTCTGTTTTGCAGAACTGAACTGTTTTAGTTCAGTCAAATTTTAGTGCATCAAGCATGGATTGCATCTTAAAGATTTAACACAGCGATTTGATCAGACTGAAGTCAAGACTTTGACTAGACCACTCTTAATTTTTTTGTTGTTGTACAGACATCCAGAGGTGGATTTGTTGATATCCTTTTAATCACTGCAACATAAAACGCATGTACTTGAGTCTTAAGTTATGAAACTTTAAAGTTTAGAAACTTATGGCAAGAGATTTTCTATCAGAGCTTTCAGCTAGCAGAATCCATTGTTCCATCAGTTGCTTAAACTTGTATTAGAAAGATCAAGAACCCCACTACTTCTTGGCATAAATGTTTACAATTTAGGTATATGTTTAAGTGGTTTAAGTGTTGCTCCAAATGGACATGTTTCTGTCAACTGGGGTATCTTTTTTGTAGGGGACTTTGAAGGGTGGAAAACAAAACATTACAGTCCATAATAATCACCTGCAAGAATAAACAAGGCGACAGTTTGGAATTATAATTTTGCTAACAAAATCACCTCATAATGGCAATGCTTTAATAGTAATATTTACCTGTGTTGTAAAACAAACTGGCAATGAAGGTGCAGTTCCTGAAGAATGTGTGTGTGGAGGTGATGTCCTCAAAGAAGCACTCCTCAAACACTGAGTTTTCAAACACCATGGACTTCATCTTCAGGTTGAGGAACCTGCAGATAAATAACAGCTATGTTCAAGTTCTTCAGGTTGAGGAACCTGTGCACAAGTTTTAAATAACGTAGCTATGTTCAAGACTTGTAAGATGTTCATTTATGTTGGGGATCTGAGTTTTTGCAGACATTTCACCAATCTGATAAAGACCTTTAAAAAAGGGCATCAATACTGACAGTTTGTCATGGTGTCTCTGATTACTTTGTCAGATGCAATTTACGAGAGATTATGTTTTTCCCGGTAGTTTCAAACACGGTAAGACATTGAAATTATCACATTATGATCAATTCTAAAATTAACGCGATGTTCCACTCCTTTTAAACTCTTACCTTTCCTCTTAGAAGAGCACTGTGTGAAATTGAACAGGCTGCACTTAACTAAAATGGTCAGATTACATTTTTTATTTAGTGTTTCGGGACCATCTGTTCTCTGAAAAAATATAATCTGTCCTAATTGTAATATCTTAAAGATTCCCAAACTGCTGCTCTCCTGGTTCAGTCAACATGCTAAAGATAATTATGACAACCCCACCAAGGAGGGCTGAGAATTGTGTAGCTAAGAAGAGCTATGAAGACATTACCCTGGACTAAACCATTATAGATTGATACAGTGGAAGCTGAAAAACAAACAAACTATGGGCTCTAGATGGAGGCTGAGTCAACTGGGATGGTTAGCAGACATAGTAGGGGACTTATTCAGCAACCAGAACCAGAACATAGTAAGGAGTCCCTCGTCAGTTTATCCTAAGCTGTTTTCAGGCGTTAAAACCCAAAAAATCTTCCTACTTTGAAATTATTCACTCTCTTTTCTTCTTCCAAACTTTCCCTCCTTCAAATTCAGTCAAATAGCTCAAAATTATGCCCACTTTTCTTTTAATTTCAGTGAGAAAATACTTCATAGATTTTTGACAAAGTTATATTTCAGTCATTTCAATTGGTATTTTGAACAGTCAATTCCTTATAGACTTTTATCTTTTGTGTTGATCTATTTAAATGTCTCTCTTATGTTTTGTTTCTTTTCTTAAACAACAAAACAAGTCAATGCTATTGCTAGAGGGGTTATTTAATCTTTAATAGTGATTACTTCAAAAATAATCTTTGAATTTCATCTAACAGGTCAATATCTTCCATTATCATATCCTAAAATGCATTAGAATAAGAAGAAAACCTTACTTGTCATTGAAATAGTGTCCTTCGCGATGGACTTGGTTTTCTAAGGTGAAGTTAAAGGTTACATGTTCTACTCGCTCATTAGTGAAGGTCTTTGTCCGTGAGTCATATTCCTGCTTCTGGATGTACTTGATCATGTCAGGGAACCACACCGTTAGCCCGTAGTAGCTGCAAGTTTGATTAAAGACAAGGCAGATGGATGAAGCACCTAAATTGAGCAAGACATACATAACTAAACACAGGAAAATTAAAGGGGCTTTTTGTTTACCTGAACGACATGCTGAACCAAACAGCCATTAGCATAAAGGTGGTCCTTCTGTACTCTTGGTTGAAGCAGGCGAGAATGTTTTTTCGTATCTGCAGCATGTGAAGAGAAAAAAAAAAGTTTAGTTTAAGAGAAATGAAGTATTAGGTAGCATAGGTTTGATAAATTTACACTGAAAACAAATTGAGTAAATAACATAAAGCCAAATTCACTCTATAATTAAGGAGGTGAGTGGATGGAGGGTGTAGGCATGTGCATTTTAGCAGAGAGTGGGCTGAAGGCATCAAAACGAGACAGAACTGTGTCAAGCTCTATGCACATGATGCTGAAGAGTGTAACACAGAAACACTGGATTAACCATAGTCAATTCTGACAAAGAACACAGTTTACATTAATATCAGTTCCTCGTATGTCTTTGACATCCGGCTGGTTGAAAGCCTCCTGAACATGGCTTCTAATCTGGCTTCTAAACACAGCTTTTTATAAATCTCATTACTGACCTGTTGTGAAAGACCCATAATTTTCATTCTGTAGCGCTGCCAGATGGGAGTGTCGGTGCCAATTTCCACCAACTCCTCAATCTGCTTTACAGTCTTTATTGTGGTGACCTTGGAGTAATCAAACACAAGACGTTCAGAGGCCTCAATATCAGGCATCAATATAAACATGCTTCCTGGTTTTATGAAAATAACAGTTGCTTTAACTTTATCAGATAAAATGCAATTCACTTAAAAAGTATCTGCAGTTTCTTCTGGTTTTGCTTTACCATCAAAGTAGAATGCTTCCAATGTTTAAAGACAATCTAAAATGTTTAGTAAATGCAAAAGGCATTTTTCAAATCATGATTTACCATTTAGCAAGACCCTTTGCAAAAAAACATAGATCTGCATGAAAAAAATAAACCTGATAAATGTGCTACTCATCAACTGCAATCAAGTTTTTTTTTTTTTACTTCACTTCATAGGAATAGTGCTCTAGTTTTAATTATAGCATTATTTTAGATTCAGCCATATTGGAGAATTTTTCACCATAAATAGCCACCCCTGATGGTGGTTAGAGAGACTGGTGGCGCCAGTGTACAGGAGCCTCACTTCTGTCAGTGCGCTCCAAGGCAGCAGCCTTGAAAATAGCTTTACCTTTTGAGACTCATCTGTAAATTTCACTTCAACAGATTTTTGACAGTCAAAAAAAGTACCAAGAGTTTGTGTGGCTAGGAAAATTAAGCATGCTAAATAACTAAAACGGACATGTTGGTTAAAATATCTTTTTCACCTTTCATAAGTTTTATTTGAAAACTTTTATTTGTTTAACTTTGAATTAAATGTTTGATCTTGAAACTTTTACCAATCAACTTTAAGTTGCAGAGGTTGAAAGCATATATTCTGTAGGTACTTACGGTGAACACCCTCTCTGGGTAACCTTTAGCTCTCATGTTTGTATCGTGGACTTGCTTCAGAATCATCCAGCCTTCATCATGCTTGCCATTCTATTTAAGAAAGAAAAAAGAAGATTCTCCATTCCACACTAAGAAAAACAGACTCAAAAACCAATATGATCTGCTTAGATCACATTGGTGATGACTCAAACAAAGGTTAAACACGTTAAAAAACTATCAACGAGCTGAAATGCGCACCTCTAGGTAGAAGCGTGGGCTCTCAGGCATGGCGTTGAGGGCAGCGATGGCTGCAACTGAAGGAAATGCACACACCAACACAAACACCCGCCAGCTGTGAAACTGATAGGCTGAGCCCATCTGGAAACTCCACCCTTAAAAGTAAAAAATAAATAAATGAATAGAATATGCTTTAAAAACAAAGGATATTTCATTCAAAAGTAAGCTGGAACTCTCTGGGCCAGCAATCATAACCTATATGATGTATTCCCTTCATGAAAACAGTTATAAATACAAAATACCTTAGTTTTAAGTAATTATATTTCTCTTTTTGAGGAAAATGTTCATAGGATTTAGTAGCAAGTGATGTACTGCTTCGGCACTAGCCTGCTTGAATACTCGCTTTTTAAGATCTCACAAATTTTTGTTTATTTTTCTAAACTGCATCTGAAAATGTCAACCCTTGATAGACAAAAAGAGAACTGGTTTGAACTTTCTCACAGTAAACTAGTGACTTTTCTGGGATTGTAAATTGTAAGCTCAGCACTGGGTCTCTGGAAGCAGAGATGTGCGTTTAATCCAAGCTATACATTTGCACAGAATGTTTTCACATTCCTGTGAGTTTCAGCATGCAAACATTTTTTTTTTTTTTTTTTTTTTTTTTTTTCCAGTAATTGTGTGTAAAATCCACCAATTAACCAGATGGTGTTTGACCAAATTTGGGTCTCTGCAATCTACCGCCCACATGCTTTGGACCATTTGCTGAAAGTAAACCAACTATATCAGCATCACATATTTGTTTATGATACATGTTCATGTAACTGAGTCACTCAGCTAGTGGGTGTTATAAGTGCATCTATTGTTAACACAAATTGTGACACCATTAAAACCAGCTTAAAAAAAGAGTAAATATATGAATTTCTCTCTCTCTGTATGTATGTAGTATATATATATATATAAAGTGAAAATTGTTTTATATAGAGAGTATGTTCACATGATCTTTACAGATGACATTAACAACCCCCCCCCCTAAATTTTATCAGCTAGCATACCCATTACAACATAAAGGGTAACGTGAATGGAGAAAAACAAATCCAGTACTGACTGGAGGCAGCTGGTAATACTATTATAAGACATAAAGGATAATTCCATTGGCACAAAATAAAAGACTAGTTAAGGTTTAAAGAAGCTCAATACAAATCAGACTTTTTGAGTTCAGGGCTGACCAGCACTGGAACGGAGGCAAAAACCTTTTACAAATAATATATATTTGACTTAGTAACTGGTTAAAAAGAGAGACTAACTGAAGCAAGAAACAGACAAAACCTTTAAAGTAACTTAAAACTAAACTCATTAAACGTTATATTATATATAGTCATATTCTTATCATAGTCATCAGAATTAGCTGTGACCAGGACAACATGTCGGCCCTAATCTTTGTCTCGATCATTTGGATTTTCATGCTCACCGTAGTGTGGAATGATAGCCCAGGCCATGGCAGATGCATAAATTCCTCCAATCATCCAGAACATGCAGAGCCAGCTGAGGTGCTCGCCACGCTTCTCTTGAGACAGAAATTCAGAATAGTACGAGAAGACGATGGGAATTGAGCCACCGATTCTGTAAAAGTCAGAGCCAAAAGGTCAATATTAATCAATTTGTCGATTCACTGTGAAAATCACCCAAGATACAACAATACAGAATAAAGATGGAGTAATAAGAGGTATGTTATTGCACCCGTATGTACAATGTACTGCATGCATGTTGTTTCAGTCTATTAGAGCCTCAGCTCTGAATTTACGTACAGTTTACTCTGATTTAATATGTTTAAGTGTTAAGGTACAGTTTGATTCTTGCATGATTCTTCTACTATGTTAACGTGGCTCAACTATCTGAAATGAATAGAGAGGATCAGAGTTTAATGAACTAAGGTTATCATCAACTATTACAGTGCCAAGAGATTTAAAATCATTAAAACATAATTTTAAACTACAGGTTTAAAGGTGTAGAACAACATCAGAAGGTATTCATTCAAAATGATGATGATACATTTTAAAAATTACAAAGCCTGGCTCTTTGGAAGCCGAATACAATGAAACAAGAGATGATTCAAGCCTCTTTCACAGCCATGTTTCTCACTATGTGCTAAGTGGGTAGGTGATACCTTGTAACTCACTGAAGTTGGCTTTTCTATTTACCAGTTCATTAAAGTACAAAAAAAAGCCCAAAAAGACAAAAATTGTCTTCTTTACTATGTAAGAGTATTGTAAGTGAGCTTTACATTGATCTTGTCTTACAAATTGGTGACCCATTAAAAAACATTAACGAGTGGAAAAACAGATAATCCTCCTGAAGTGCACTTTTTAGAGAAAAACATTAATAGTATACATGAAAAACAGGTGTTAGACAGATGAAAAAACAAAAAGAGCTGAAGGTGCAATTACCCGACACCTGAGAGAAGGCGGCAAAACAGAAAAGTGCTGTAACCCTGAACGAAGGATGAGAAAAAGGAGAAGATACTGTTGATGGACAGAGAGATGATAAGAGACTGCCGACGGCCAATCCGGTCTGCCATGGCCCCCCAGAGGAAAGCCCCAACCATCATACCGAAGTATACAATCAGACCTGCCAGGAGAGCAAACAAAATGTGTCAGTTTTCTACATTTAGTGTTTATAGACTTATTTTCCAATAATACAGCACAGACAGGGAAATATTCCTAGTTGGTAGATGTTGCCTTGGAGATTATAACCTTTACTTTTTTTAATGGTATCTTCTTAACATCATGTTATTTATGGTTCTAGACTAGTTATCTCTACATCAACAAAGGCCTTTTTAGGACTTGTTAATGAGGTTGGGAAAGTTTAATCAATTTAAATACACAAACTGACAAATATGGTTTGGTAGAAATGCAACCAGTAGCTTTTGGGAAGTCCTAGAAAAAACTTAACAGAAAGCATTATGTAAGTGCTGAAGAATAGCCAGTAATTCCAAAATTACTTTCTGTAAATTAGCCTTTATGTCTGTGAAAGAACCTGGGAAGTTCTTTAAATATCCTATAACAGATTTCCATTAGTATATCAAGTCAGTTCAGGAGGGTTGCCAGTAAAATTTTAATGGTATGTGATAGGTTTTGAAAAGGTTTTAAGCAAATTCAGGAAAGAAACGATGAGGTGGCATTTTTTCACAAAACCCTCTAATGGAATCTAAGAAAGCTATTGTTTATATACTCAAGGTTAAAGGGAATTAAACTTTAAATTTTAAAAGATATCCTTTAAGTTTGGGGAAAATAACCAGTGGGTTCCCTGTAAGTTCAATAAGAGTATCTTCTGTGCTTCAAAAATTAAATATCTGGGTAATTTAGCACTGAGTTTAGAAGAACTAAAGTCTTTGTTTATTTAGACCGTGGAGATAACGGTATTACTTACAGTAAAAATGAAATGAAAAAACAAACTATCTTTATCAGAAAACATGACAGTCAATGACAAAAGAATTTGATCAGCCTTAGGTTTTCTTTTTAAAAACATATTACCTGAAGAAAAAGCAAAATTAAAAGAGCCTAAAAAATTTTTCAGTCCATCATCTTTTTCCATAGTTGTTTAGATACAGAAATCAACTTTTTGTTTCAACAAAACCATATCAAAAATTATATATTGGCTCCAACTGGCAATAAAAGGAGGCACAGATTTTAAAAGAATTATCCCTTTTCAGTTTTCAATCCCAAAGATTATAATCTAGTTTAAACAAATATTCTTTCTTCTATGAGCATTGCATTATAATGCATTATGATTAATTCTCACTTATTATGTTTGCTCTTCTTCTCTAGATTCTGTTAATGTATGATTTATCAGACACTGACATAGATACGTCTGTTGGCATCTAAGCAGGAATGTATGCTGCGTTTCTCCTGTGTATGTAGGTTACTAAACAATCATAAAAAATATAAAAAGAACCAAACTGTGCTGCAGGTACTGTTGAAAATCCCTACAGGCTCTACTGGCGTATGTGTAATTCACTCAATTTAAAAAGCACACATGTGATTCATGTGATGAAGGAACATGTCACCCAGAGCAACAGTGAATAATTTAGGTGTTTAAAATAGGACTTGAACATGCACCTATGTCTCTGCTATACAAGAGAACCTACCATATATTATGACTGTTAAAGTCTTACCAAGCATGCTTTTGCTGGGTTCAGAGAGACACATATCCTTCTCTGCACTGGGGAGGACAAACCCCACCACGAAGATTTCCACACCATCAGCCATAAGTGCCAGCCCTAAGACGAAGTACAGACTCCACTGGAACTTTCCGTGCCCACATTCCTGCAAAATGGTCTCATACTGCTGAGCCAGCTCCTCCTGGTCCTTCCGCCTCTCAGCCTCAGATGCCCCAATATCTCTAAACTGTTGAGCTCCGGCTGTTATTGATCCAGGACCTCCAGCCAAGTCTCCTTTCCCAGAATCAGCCCTGGGGATTCCTTGGTATTCACCCTCATAGATCTCGTCATCCTCGTCATGGCCCTCTGTGGAGTCACTGTGGCCACCCTCATCATCGTTGGCCGCCTGGCTATCGCCGCGGTAGTAGCCTCCATCCTGGCTCCCCTGCATTGGGTAGTCATCATCATCGTCTTCTTCGAAGCGACTGTAGGAGCGCTTGCTGTACTCATCGCTCACCCGATCCACTGACCGGCCAACCTTCTTACTAGCTTGCCGCTTGACTTCTTTCGCAATGTCTTTGGCACCTTTTATAAAAGCAGTCCGGTTTTGGTAGCCTTCCTCCATCTTTAAGACGCTTTAGAAGAATCAGTAGAGGATGAAGGTCTTGAGAAGAGGCCTCTGAAGGTGACGGGACTTTCTGAATCTAGGTTGAAGCTGACAACTCCCAGTTGACTTGACTCACTCCTAAAGGGATAACAGAAATATAGGGGGAAAAAAGAGGATTCCAAGTTTACTATGCACTCCAGGTTGTGTTTACAAGTCAAAACTTCACAGTTAGCTGACTTTTCTGATGATCTATTTTGTAACAAACAACTTAAAAAAGTGAACACCTTTGTTTTAGATTAAACATGAGCAGGACAATCGGGCTATGAAAATACAATATTCTGCAAATGATGGTCATGCATGACAGCCCTGAAATACTCAACAAAAGGACAACCATGGGCATACAGTTGGAGAATATAATCTCAGACCAATGGCCCAAAATGTTCAGACCCTGTACGGATGTAAGACTGCCCTCATGTAAATAACTAGAGTGAAATCCAGAGGTGAGGTCTTTGATTTGATGACCTTACTTGAATTAGACTTGACCTTAAAACCTATAGAGAAAGTAATTTCAAGAAAAGACTTGAAATTACTTGATGCTCTTGTTTAAGAAATTCCCCATGCAAAATGATAATGATAACAAAATACTGGCCAAGAAGTTTAGACTTTTGACCTGTCTCTGTTAAGTTGGAGGGGCTTTATTACACATACACCATTATAGGTTTACGTGATCAACCAGATTTCTTTCTGTTATACTGCAGGATTGAATTAGATTGTACGAAATTAGATGTAATTGTGAAAAAAGTTTGATTGTATTGAAATGAATTGGAATAATAAGAACAAAATTTGGATCAAAATGGATTTCATGTAGGTGGCATGTTTTAATTGAGCTTTCATTGAGCTACAGCATTATTCCTGTCTAAGATCAGCTGGGAATACCCATTTTATTCTATTTCCAGATGACACAATTAATGAGTGAGAGGTTCGGAGATTTTTGTAAAACAAATCCTCAAAATCTGATGTTTACGTACACTAAAATTAAAATCCCACTAAAATTACTATGTTTGTGAAAAGGACAGATAATGACATGTTTTTTAATAGCTTACTTAAAACATTTGAGGAAAGTGAATGCAGCAGCTCTGATTGTGGATGAAGCTGATACCCATGTGTCATTATCCACAGTGAAACATGTAGTGTACTGAAAAGGGCTGAACCATCAATTCAGAGAGAAAGAAGAAATTTTTCTGAAACATAACAAGTCAATGTTTGCACATGTTCTCAAGAGCAAAAAACTTAATCAAAGACTCTTGTTTTAAGTAAACTGAGCTTAAAATGCATTTTTTAATCTCAGTGCACAGTTTGAAAGTCTATGAATACCATACAACTGTGAAGTACAAGGTTGGTAGTATCAATAAGTGTGTGCATTTTACTGGGACCAAGTCCACCAAATAGAGTTAAAAGCCTCCAGCTGTTCCAAAATGCTGCAGCCAGATTTCTGATGAAAACTAAAAAGAGATATACTTCTTCCATTTTGACTTCCATTTATTGGCTTCATGTTAAATCAAGAATAGAGTTCAGTATCATTCTTTCATGTATAAGCCTTTAATATATGCTATTGTACATAACTGTAAAAACCCTTTTTATAGTAATATCCACCTGTATATTATATATGGTACATATCCAGCAGTACATTTAGTTCATAACACTAGTGATCTATATATTATATTCATTATTTATAATGGTATTCATCTCTATACTCATTCAGTAGAAACCCATGTCCTGTATTTATGGGACCATTATTTATCCCGCACTTGCTGCTATTGCACTTCTGGTTAGACCTAAACTGCATTTCGTTGCCTTGTACCTGTACCTGTGTAATGACAATAAAGTTGAATCTAATCCAATCTTAATAACCAAATCTCATCTTATATCAGAGATCTGATCATTCCTTATGTTAACAGAGCATTTTGGTGGTCATGCACTTAGGTATCACTGCTCTGCTACCGTCAACAACTTCCATTATAGATGATGAGTTGAGCCTGTTGTTCTGTGTTAAATCCTGTTTTTTTCTCATAGACATAGCTTTGGGCTTGGCTTTCACTGTGACTTTGTGCTCTATTTCATCCTTTTTACTTGAAAATGGGCTCAGAGCCTAACAGTTTCTTTCTTGGACAGAGACACCTATGGAGCTAGTGTACCGTTACATTTCTGACAGAAATAATTTTTGGATCAGTGCTTCCAAGTTCCTTTTGTATGGCTGCTTCTGACTCCTTGAATACCTATACAGCTTTGGCAGAAGGCTGCTCTCTCTGATCCTGGGTCTACTGGAGGTTTCTACCTATTAAAATGGGAGTTTTTCCTCTCCAGTGTCACTGCATGTATGTTTATGTGAGGGCTTGCTGCAGAGTCAATGACACAACTGTTCTACTGTTGCTACATGCTCATCCTAAAGGAAAAAATACTGTAAATTCAATGACCTGATGTCATCAGCTGAGTTTGCTTAGATCGAAAATATTTCACAAATCCGTCTCTAATTTAAATGAATTGTCTTTGCAACATGCATTGGCACCTTTCTGTGCAATGTAAACTGAATTAATTTTTACTTGTAAGAAGGGAATATCTTGTAAATACTGAAGCAACATCTCAACATATCACCCAGACAGCTAAATCTTGGGCACAATTTTAGTTTTACTAAATTGAGAACAACCCAAACATTAGTCATCATAATTGGAGCAAAGATTACAAATCCTGTATCTCTAGGTTTGGGGACAAACCTGAAAAGGTGTACGTGGAAAACAGATTGAAGAAGACTACCAAAAAAGTTTGACTGAATCATACAACTTGTGGAAAATTCAACCAAATGTTAAGGAAACATGTAAACTTCTGAAAGTACAATAAAGCTGTTTTATTTCTGTCATCATAACAGCCTAACACCTTCGATTTCAGTGCAGTGCATCATCCTGATTAGTTTCTTCATATAGTGTGTAAATGCTGCACAATAAACAAAACTAAATGATTTTGTAGATCATTATTTCCTACTGTTTGTAACTTTAACTGTACAAACCTGAACGAGATGATACAAGATCAACAATTAATCATCTGGATGTTTACATTTAAAAACATTTGTTAATCATCAAATTATGCTGTAAAAATCACTTTTAATGTCTTAAGAGTCATTTTTATGTTGGTTTTTTATTTAAAAAAAATTAATGGATTCCTTCCTATTTAAACCTGTTGCCTTCCCCTGTTCACCCTGCATATGTCCTTTGCTGAGTCGCCGAAAGGCAACGTAATTATGCAGCGAAACGTCCAGCATCAAACCCAGTGTGGTTTATAATGGAAACGTCTTGATATGAAAAATGACTTGAGTGCCACCACTCAAGAGGATGAGGGACAGAGTATGGGATTCAAATGAATCCGACTGTACCGTGATCCTGACCCATAAACATCTTCAAATCGAGGAATAAAAGAGGATTTTCCACACAATTAAAGAAAGAAACCTCAAGAAATCATCAGATGATCCAAGAGAGCTTGGCTAGATTTCATCGGTTAAATGTCACATTTGACAATAATTTCTGGGCAGCATGAATGCAAACTAATAAATTTGACAAAGCCGTATGTAAAAGCAAATGATCCATGAAATTAAGAAGCTGGCATTCAGATACCTTATTCCACATATTAATGCAGTGTCACATATCCAACAAATTCTGCAGCATTAACGACATTTTTAAGGTGCTGACTTGTTCTTGCATTTGCTAGATGAGACCCACATCAATATGTTTATGGAGTAGCACTATGAGCCTCGGGTGGCTGTGCAATAAGACAAGATGTCACTTTGAATTTGTGCTGCTGTGAATCAGCAGATGGGAGATGATGAGACGTCGCTGCACTTTCATCGGCCCTTTGGAAGCTAACTCTGACAGGTAATAACAGTCCAGACAACGCTTCTCAATAGTAGGCATGTATACAGGCCTGCAGGCTTCCTAATATCTATGTAATATCTTAAGTTTATTTTAGAGACTGGACTGAATTCTGTAAAATATTTAAAGGTTCCAGTAGATTTTAACTTTTGGGTGTATTGTCTGATAAATTCAGCAACTCTGTAAACCTTTTGTCAGTTTAATAGCATTCACAGATAATTGGTATGAAAGCTGCACTATTTTGCATGTTTAATGATGTATTTAAACCCATCTCTTCCAAAATTTAAATGATTATAAAACAATCAACTTCAAATGTCTTTATTTATTTAGTTCGAGATGATTGTGTGTTTTAGTCTAGCTCACAAAGATTGAATGTGAAGTAAATGTAAATTGCACATGCGCTACATGCTTTTTAACATCCATCAAAAGAGTCCAGACATAATTCTGGCTGGATATTAGATATAAATATTGTTTTGGATTGTTAGCTCCTTTGGCTGAGACCCTGCTACTGAGTGTAGTCTATAAATTTTGAATAGGCGTAAGATTCTGTAAGGTCCTGTTGGAAAGCTAAGCTGTGTTGAAGTTTCTACCAGTGGATGTGAGGTATTAGATGCACCTGCCTCAATAGACTTAACCTCATCACCTGACGGTCATGTGACACTGGTAAAACAATATATATATATATATATATATATATATATATATAAAAGATTAATTACATCAGAGGCATAAAATCACAAAGCTATTTGTTCACCACATGCCTCGTGCTGTCATGAAGCCCTTTAGGGGACAAGGTTTAGGGCATGTAAATGTCAGCTCTGTAAAAATATCCTAAACAATTTCCTTTTATTAACAGACAAATTGCACACATCCAAACCTAGGAACAGTGTACAAACTGTCGAGGATGGTGGTATCGTCATGCTGAGGTATGGTTACAGTAAGGACAGTGGATACAGAAAAGAAAATAGTGAAACAACTAAGAACTCTCTGGGTGTTGGATTATAAAACTTGATCCAACTGAGTGTTGCAAGAGGAGCTGGAAACTCACAAGAGCACTATTTTTTTTTCTAAGTATAGAGCAGGCTTACAATAAGATTTTAG